CTTGTCTGTTTGTTTGTTATTGTGGTATTTTGGAATGCTTATTTCTGAGTACTTATGATGGAGCACATTTGCATTTTTAAAACTTTTGCTGCATTTTTTTCTTATTTTCCACCAATTTTGGGAAGGTAATACATTAAAATCTGTTATGTGTAATCTCTAGTGTTTAGGCACATTAAGAAAGGACAGTGCCTGATAAATTTGCATTGTCCATATATTCTGATTTTAAAAATCTAAATCATGGTTTTCTAATTACACAGGATTCAGATTTAATTTCAAAATTCACTGGAGGGGTTTTCTCTTTGACTTGGATATCACCAGGAAGTATACCTAAGGGATTATCTCAATCCTAATATCAGTCTGCTGTCATTACTCTGGGAGGAAATAAAAGCAAATGTAACAGTTTAAATATATTTCCCTAAACATACAATGGTGGACTAGATTACATTCAAAATTTCAATACAAAGATTGTAAAGACAAATATGAAATAGAATATTCAGCTACAATAAAGGATATTTTACATGTAAAATTACTCAACAACTTCCAAGTATTTTAAAGTGTAATGCTGTACAATGCCATTAATGGTAGATAAAATATTTAATGTCTGTACATTATGTACACTGAATACAATAAAGAGGTTCTTCCCTGGATATTTCACATGAACTTTGTACTACCTGGGTAAATATGTACAATACTAACTTCATCTGTACAGTAAATACAATATGCATACTTATACATCATATCAAAGAGGGTGGTATAACGACACAAATGTCACTATGAGGAATAGTACATACATGAAAAACTCATAGTCTAACTTTACATTCATTGACAGTTATTTTGTTTCAACTTCTAGGAAGCCAAGCAATATATCTAACAAAAATGCAATGCAGTTCTTCTTTTACAAATCAATAATGGATATCACTAAAAACAAAAATGATTTTAAGCAGCCTAGACATATTGAGAGCAATAAAAGGGGAAAATACATTGAGAGGTATGGTGTATACATACATACATACATTATATGTATATATGTATATATGTGTATATATGTGTATATATATATGTGTGTGTGTGTGTGTGTGTGTGTGTGTGTGTGTGTGTGTGTGTGGGTGTGGTGTGTGTGTGGTGTGTGTGTGTGTGTGTGTGTGTGTGTGTGTGTGTGTGGTGTGTGTGTGTGTGTGTGTGTGTGTGTGTGGTGTGTGTGTGTGTGTGTGTGTGTGTGTGTGTGTGTGTGTGTGTGTGTGTTTACCATAATTGGTTTTATTTTTGAAGAAAATAGTTATAAAACAGTAGAAACAACACATTTTTTTTCTCTGCCAATGAATATTTTATAAATATTGGTGAATTTGATTAGCAAATCTTCTGTTTGATAATGAACACATATCCTCTGCTGAACACAAAAGTACTCTTAGAAATGATAACCGCTACAAAACAGATGGGTTGCATGGGGTTCAAAAGAACTTTTCTCAAAAACCTAGTACACTAAAAATCTGGAAGCAGAAAAAAAATATTGCTTATTGAAAAAAAAAAAAAATCTAAAAGCAGAGAACATCGTCAACTAAACCGATGGATAACTTTCTATCACTTTGCAAACACCAAATATCTAGTGAGCTTTATAGTGTCATCACAGTTATCACTAGAAATTCAGACAGGCACAGATCAGTTGGCAGTATTAACTACTTTGAAATACAATTACACCTCATACATATTCTAGGAATTTCAATATGAAAGAAAGAAAGAGGAGCAAGGCAAGCTGATTATTTTATCTTCTTGCTCTCAGAATACAAGTTAGAATTTAGAAGACTCGATTATGAATTACAAATATCAACAACCAAAGGTTCAGAAATGTGACTGAGAAAGAGAGAATGAAGGCAGCACGTCACAGAGAAACTCTTAAGATAGTATACAAAAAATAAATTACTTTGTCATAAATACACAAATTTACACAGTGTACAATGACACTTAAGAGCAAATGTCATGTCTATGTTCACTATTAGAAATGATTACCTATATGAAAAAATTCAAGCAGTAATAAATGCTACTATACTAAAGGACAAGCTGTGAATTCTCTCACTGAAAATCTGAACATTTGTCCTCGTGTCGGCATACTAATAACATCTAAATCCATTAAATAATTGAGCAGTAGTCATGGTCCCATTAACCAATGGATAACAATAAAAAACTGTCAATAAATAAATCTTTTTGAAACATTTAGTGTCATCCTTGTATAAGATTTCTTTCAAATTAAACCATGTGGCATGGCTCTTATTTCATTAGAACCTACATGTATAATCTGCAATGACAATTTGATACTGCTGCTATAATAATATTTCTGAATCATAGCAAGTCAGATGCATTACCATTCAACTATAATCACATTTTTTTCTGCAATGAAAATGAAAGTCTTGTAACTTCTGGCCCTTCTATTGAAGACGATTTCAGCTTCTTGGGACCTAAAATAACAACATTAATTTCCATAAAGTATAATCATAATTATGACTTGCTAAATAACCCTAATCTCCTCGATTTCACTGTTGGTACTTCCTCCACAACCTGCAACAAATAAAAGTCTTAATTAGTAACAATGCATGGTAAAAAAAATAAATAAATGAATAAAGAGAGATATAGCCAGAAGAAACGACACTGAAATCAGGCATCCTTACTCTTTTCACTGCACTTAAAAAAGATATAAAAAAAAAAAGAAAAGAAATAGGACAAATTTTTTCTCCTTCACAGACACACATACCTTTATGAGGTTATCTACTTATTCCTCATGGTTGCCTAGGACCCACGGTTCTCTGTGGGTAATGCTGACCCCCTCTGGAACGGGTACCGTTTTGGCAAAGTCTATCATCCACACACCTGCCTTTTCATCATCGTAGATAATCAATATGCTGCTTCCAATCACCTGGAAAGTTCAGATACAATCAAGTTAACACTGTGCTCCAAGTTGGTGTCTTGCTATGCACTGGATCAATATTTTCCAAAATAAATGCAATTGATTCCATGTTCATACCATACTGGTAATAACTAAATAGATAAACTAATTGATTTGTGAAGTATACATAGAAGTAAAAACATGAATAGAGGTTCAAGTTATTATGCATTTATTTGTAAAAGTTTATTCATTTTTCTATTCATGCATGATTGTGTATGTGTATGTGTATGTGTGTGTATGTATGTATGTAAATGTATGAGTGTGTGAGTGTGAGTGTGAGTGTGAGTGTGTGCGTGTGTGCGTATGTGAATGCTCTTTTACTCACAAAGATTACTGTATTACCTCATGCTTTTGGAAATATGGCGATTTAGCGAATGTATTCCTAAGATGATTAAGACGTGACAAAACCTGACGTTTGGTGCTTTCTCGCCCTTTAAGAAACCCACTCATGGTACCAACAACTTCTTCACGACTGCGGACTGTCTTAAGTTCCGTTACAGCATCACTACCAGTCATCTATAAAAAAATAAAGTGACAATAATAACAAGGTCCATTCACTATGAGCAAGTCCTAGTGCATAACCCTGAAATGATCTAAGGATGGTTTGCTCACAAATTTTCATAAAGATTTAAGGAATTATTGCAGATTTTTAATTCTAATCTTTTAGTATGATTATTACTCTACTCTAAATTAACCCTAATTGAAATCTTCCAAGTATTACTAATTTTTGCAAGCGTTAGGCATGCAATTCTAACAAAAATTTTATCTGTTATATGTTTTCCTCTAAAGGAAAAGTACATGAACTGTAATCTTTCACTTCATAAATCTTTGAAAGGCTGAGAACACTTGTGGCCAAACACTTGCATGGAATTACATTATTACAGCAAAAATAAAACCTTTGGCTGTGAGCAATTACTGTATTCAAGATGTTCTTACATTGTCTTTACCAGTCCATGAGTAACTGAACTTTCCTTGCACGAACCTTCAAAGCTTCTATCCGGAATCCAAGGGAGCGTGAAGAACTCATGTTATCACGGAAGTCCATGTATCGCAATTTAGTTACTGCTTTTGCTTCATGCTCCTCTGGGGTTGGTGCTGTAGGATCCACTTTAATCATCTGGCATAAAAAATAAGAACAAAATTAGTCCTACTAACAAACATCGAAAAAACTTTGATCTAATTACTGGGTTTAAGGAATTTTTTGTGATAAAAGTCAGAGACTGTACTGAAATCATACAAAAGAAAGAAACTTACCTTCTCATAAAGGTCGTGGCGAGCCTTGGTGTTGGTCACTTCTGACTCTAGGAAGGTGCGAGTTCCCATCTTGATGTCCATCACAGATGGGTTGTGAAAGTTATATAATAGGTCTTGCATCTCAATAAAATCTGTGACAGGACATTAAGGAAAATGCTTCATATCTAACTATTGGGTGCTACTCTACTGTATGATTCAGGACGACACAGAACTAAACTAAATCTATGAGCTCTTCCTGTCTCATATCTAGTTCCACTTTCATGTACCTTATCATACTACCATGGAAATAAACATCCACAAAAGAACTAAACATATCCATCTGACAACACTTATACAGCCCCTCTCACTCACTCACTCACTCACTCACTCACTCACTCACTCACTCACTCACTCACTCACTATCACTCACTCACTCACTCACTCACTCCACTCACTCACTCACTCACTCACTCACTCACTCACTCACTCACTCACTCTCACTCACTCACTCACTCACTCACTCACTCACTCACTCACTCAATCACACACACACACACACACACACACACACACAACATGCACGCACACGCACGCACGCACGCCAACACACACACACGCACACACGCGCACACAACACACACACACACACACACAAACCACACACACACACACACACACACACACACACACACACACACACACACACACACACACACACACACACACACACACACACACGCACGCTCAACGGGCGTCGAAAAGGATACATTCATCTTGGTAGACGACCTCCCGGAAGAAGGTGGGCGCGAGCTCCCTGGCCGGGTCCTGCGAGAAGGCCTGGTAGGCGAGCGTCTCCACGGGCTCGGGGCCGCGCTTCTTCCAGATGGTTCCCGGGCCAGCTGGAGCCAGAGATCCCGGGTGACCTGACAGCTGCACCCAGCTGTTGCGCCGGTTGTTGAGGAGGACCGAGGACGCTGGCGCCGTCAGGTTGAGGGCATTCTGGAAGGGGGATCTCCGTTAGCGACCTTTACTCAACAACATCCGGTTTACCTGTTGCCTATATATCAACGCCATTGGCTTTATGCACGTGTGGGCCAGGTATACTTATAATATTTCAGACATCACTACAGAGTGTGGGAGACTCGCTTGTCATACTGAAACTGACATTACTCAAGAGGGTTTTATATTTGAAAAAAAAAAAAAAATGCTGGGAAATACCTGTCATAAATCTAAATAAATGGCAGAGTAAACACTCATAAGAGGTTAGAAAGAAATCTATCAACCTAATTCAAAACCATAATTTAAAAAAATCACTGATTTTAATAAAAATAACAATAATAACGAAAGTAATAATAATAATGATGATGATGATGATAATAATAATAGTAATAATAATCATAACAATAACAATAATAATAATTATCATTATCATTATTAGTGCTACTATTATTATTATTATCATTATTATCATCATCAATAACAACAATAATTATCATTATCGTTATCATGATAATAAAATAATAATAATAAAAATAATAAAAATAACAATAATGACAAAAACATATCATTATTATTATTCCTATTAACAACAATATTACTGATAATATCAATGATGGTGATGATGATAAAAATAATGATTATTATTGTGATTTTTATTACCATAAAAACAATGACAGTAACAACAATAACAACAACAATAATAATAATAACAATAATAATCATCATCATTATTATTATCATTATTGTTATTATCATTATCATTATCAATGTAACAAAAATAACAGTAATATAACCGAAGTAACAATAATGATAATCATTATCTTCATAATAAAAATAATAAAATAATAAAAATGATAAATATAATAATACCAATAATGATTTATAATGCTAATAACAATAACAATAATAATAATAATAATAATAATAATAATAATAATAATATAATAATAATAATAATAATAAGCACACAATCAGAAATAAGGCTTAATAATAATAATGAACAACAAACACAACCAGCGACGGCCACTGACCAGCGCCAGCTTCTGCAGGAGCGACATGTCGGCGGTGTCCTCGGCGCTGAGGCCGTCCTTGGCCAGGCCCGCCTCGGAGTCCTCGAGGGCGAGGTTGAGGTGGCCATTGGCGCAGAGCTCCTCCCGGGGCGCGGCGTGCGGCTGCGAGGGCGAGATGCTGCTGCTCGACCTGGTGGACGAGTTGGTGGAGGAGGCGGACGAGCTGGTGGCGGACACCTCGTCGTCCTCGCTCGACTTCTTCTTCAGGAGGTTCTTCCGCCAGCGCCGGGCCAGCGGCGCCCTCTTGGGCCGGTGGTTGTCCGGCTGGTGGTTGGCCTCCTCCTCCGGCGGCTTCTGCTGCTTCGGCAGGCGGAACCCGGCGGTGCCGCGCAGGAGCTCCTCGATCTCCGCCTTCCGCTCTCCCGCTACCTGTCGGGGGAACCAAAGCCACGGTCAGTCTCGCCCTACGACCTCGCGTCACGGCGCTGCCCATCAGTTGCCCAGTGCCTCAAACTACCTACTTGCACCCCCCCCCCGCCCAGTGCCTCAAACTTACTTGCACCCCCCCCCCGCCAGTGCCTCCAACTACCCCTTCCCCCACCCCCCTCCCCTCCGCGACGCATAAATCACGTACGAGGCGATTCCCGCGGCGCAGCCTCCCGCCGGCGCCGCGTCCCCAACACTCATCAATACTGCATGTCGCCTTGGCTATAAATAGCAATGTTTTTTTTCTCTCTAACGAGCAACGACTTCTATTTCCAAACACGTTAATATGAGCGGCATACATGGCGAACATAATCGAGGTGAGTCACCGCCTCCCAAAATACCCTCGGCGACGCCCCGTAATCGCCCGGCAAACATGTGTCGCGCAGCTGCGGCCGCCGGAGGTGCGGAGCCTTCTCGGTAAGTGGAGCCCGTGACGTCAGAGACACACCTGAGCCTCGGGAACCACACCTGAGCCCCCCCCCCCCGCGCGCGGCCGTAAACAGTAATTAAGAGCGGCTCTGGCACCTCGGAGGACGACAGGTCGTGGCCGCGGAGGAGGGAATGGAGCCAAGAAGCCTTCTCCTGAGGCGCTGACGAGGCTGGGCGGAGGCCGCGCGCTGACGCAGGACCGCAGAACGACTGCGGGAACGTCAGCGGCGGAGGCGGCAAGGTCAGCCCCAGATCCGTCTTGCCCGTCAGGTAACCCGACGTGACCTTGCCTGCCGGATTGCCTGTCTTGCCTTGCCTCATTGCCCTGCCCTGGCTTGCCTTGCTTTGCCCTCCCTCATTGCCCTGCCCTGGCTTGCCTTGCCTTGCCTCATTGCTCTGCCCTGGCTTGGCTTGCTTTGCCTTGCCTCATTGCCCTGCCCTGGCTTGGCTTGCCCTCCCTCATTGCCCTGGCTTGGCTTGCCTTGCCCTCCCTCATTGCCCTGGCTTGGCTTGCCTTGCCCTCCCTCATTGCCCTGGCTTGGCTTGCCTTGCCCTCCCTCATTGCCTTGGCTTGCCTCATTGCTCTGCCCTGGCTTGGCTTGCCCTGCCTTGCCTCGCGGATGCTCACCAGTTCCTGTATAATTCCGGATCGCGAAGCCGGATGCGACCAGACGTGGACGCGCGCGCGGCGCAACGTGCGGCTGCGGCGGGGTCAGCGGGTGCCAATGCGAGGCGGCGCTGATGAGGACTCGCCGGGGGGTTAGGGGGCTGTTAATTAATTAATTCTCTCTCTCTCCTCTCTCTCTCTCTCTCTCTCTCTCTCTCTCTCTCTCTCTCTCCTCTCTCTCTCTTCTCTCTCTCTCTCTCTCTCTTCTCTCTCTCTGTCTTCTTCTCTCTTTAGTGACCTGCTCCCCTCGTCGCTCACCCCTCGCATACCACGAAAGCCATGTGTTCTTATTTCACAAGTACTTCAACCTGCCCCGTGCCCGACATTGACGAAGTGACCGTAGAACACGCTAATCTGACCCTTATTACTCTCATACATTTTCCATGCATTTATTCTGTTGTCTTCATGTATAAATATGTCATGTTTATACTCAAAATGTTTCTTATAAAATGCTTATTCTGAATCACGATGTATGTAACTGATTTTACCATTGATATTCAAATGTTCTATGTCTCATGTATAGTCAGCCAGTCTGTCCCATAACCACAATGTTTGGATTGTAAAAACATACCGATATCATGTCAACCATACCCTTGTTCCTCTCCACGAAACGGTCATGTGACCTAATATCTCTGAAACTATGTTCATCCATATTCTTTCATGTTTTTCCATTGTATATTGTCTCAAAACGAACTTCGTTCATGGCAATTCCTGTGCCATCTACCTCAGACCGCTCGCCCCCGCGGGCTCGGCAGGACGTGCTCCTCCCTGGGCACCTGCCTTGCCCTCTGTACCAGTTACCCAGAATAAAGACAAGAAAACTGCGACAAGTTTAACTTCAGACCAACATCTTCAGAGTACGTCAGTATCTTACTTACTTACTACTGCCTTACCGCTCAGCCACGACCTACCAAACAACAAGTAATAATAGTGGGGGGTGGGACGCCTCCTTCCTCCCACACATACATTACATCTTCTTCTCTCTCCTCTCTCTCTTCTCTCTCTCTTCTCTCTCTCTCTCTTCTCTCTCTCTCTTCTCTCTCTCTCTCTCTCCTCTCTCTCTCTCTCTCTCTCTCTCTCTCTCTCTCTCTCTCTCTCATGCAAGTATCACTATACTGGATACCTTCTCATATAGGGATATCAACCTGTGACAACGTAGAAAAGTTAGCAAAACAAGCACTTTCCCATGAAGAACCATATTATGTAATACCGCTATCTATCAGTCAAATGAAAAAACGTGTTATCAGCTGTCTTCGAGATTATGAGGGCCAGGTATGGACCACTGAAAAATTGAAGAAAAGTGGATATGGTACCATCTGGCATTATGAAAGTATTGTCAGGTCATGTGATGCTGACAAACCATATAAATACTACGATGGACTGTCTCGGAGACAGCAGGTCACGCTAACCAGGCTACGCATAGGGTATCAATACACTATACATTATGTACAGGATGCAGTTTTGGAGGCAAAGCCAGTCACATATCACCAATGCAAAATGTGCAAGGCGCCCAAGTCGCATAATCTTACATTACTTACTTTGTTGCTCAAAAACTGCATCCTATCGATCAAATAGCACTGTCCAGAGACCAGCACTTATTGATTATATTAATTTTATCATAGACACTGGTCTTGTCTTCGATATGATTAGGGATATAAAAGGTTTTTTACCAACTAGATGATATGTGAATAATGTATGCATAATGACACAGCCCTTCAGGCATGTAGAACTAATGTTTGACTAATAGCCCTTTACATAATATAAGCATAGCCAGTTGGATAGATGCGGTAGCATCTTACCCTGGCTTTTTACAGGGCATGTACACTGTTCTGTAAATAAATATTATCAAATCAAATCAAAATCTCTCTCTCTCTCTCTCTCTCTCTTCTCTCTCTCTCTTTCTCTCTCTCTCTCTCTCTCTCTCTCTCTCTCTCTCTCTCTCTTCTCTCTCTCACACACACAACCCCCCCCCCCCCGCGCCACATGCACCACCCTCCCCCCCTCATACACACTCAAGCGGACGAGCGGAAAAGGGCGCCCGTGACGTCAGAATCATGAGCGTCGCAACGGCAGGTCCGTGTTGTGTCTCGCGGACCTTCCTGCGACTTCCGTGTGGACAGCTGCGGCCCCGGCGACGCTGACCCCGTGAACATACCCGGACTTGTTATATTCGAGGACTTGTTATATTCGAGGACTTGTTATATTCGAGGACTTGTTATATTCGAGGACTTGTTATATTCGAGGACTTGTTATATTCGAGGACTTGTTATATTCGAGGACTTGTTATATTCGAGGACTTGTTATATTTCGAGGACTTGTTATATTCGAGGACTTGTTATATTCGAGGACTTGTTATATTCGAGGACTTGTTATATTCGAGGACTTGTTATATTCGAG